TCCCGCCCGTTTCACTATTGGAAGGCATTCAATTACATCTGACATGGCTGCTGCGCAGAGCAGGGGGCTGTCAGCCACACAGCTCGCTGGGAACTGGTCAAAGCAAAGTCTCAAGTTGCGCCCCGGGGTGTGCCTTCCCTCATGAGGGAAATAAAGGCACCCCGCTGTGTGACCCAAAGCCGCCCGCGGCACCAGGTGTCAGCAATTCAAACATTCTTTTGGTGGCAAAGGACAAGCTACGCTTGCCCCAAGTTTCAGGAAGAATGGCATGGAACAGCATGGCTCACACAGGGCTGCCGAGCACACTGCTGGTCGCACAGCTGTTTGGGATTTGGTCAGGCCTTATGTGGCGGTTCGCAGTGGTTTGGGTGCCCACCAACCATGCATGGGCAGAATGCAGTCGATGCCACGCAAGCAAACCTATGGACGTCGCCGGACCACCTCCAATGCGCTTGGGCGAAAGAATCGAGTTCCGTTCATCACACACGGTCGGTTTGCTCATGGCAACTTGTTCATCGTTCCATTTCGTGTGGCACGTCAGTCTCGGTCTGCAAGCTACGCAAGCAAAGAAACCGCTTCGTAGAACCGCGCAGAAGTGCTTCGCGGAACTACTTCGCAAGACAGTTCGCAGAACTTGGTTGATGGGAACACAGTGAGCTGTCCCCTTTCTCTTTCCGAGACTAAGCAGTTCCATTGGTCAGAACACACGGCAAGGTGCGTTGCAACTGAACTTGGTGCATCCTTCCATGAGGCTTCGCACATTTTGCCGACACCTATGAGGCATCTTTGCACGAGGCAAAACACGTGTGGGAGCAAGAGATGAAGGCCAAGCGCGCTTTAAGCGATCAACTCAATGTTGCAGGATTCCAAGGCCCAAAGCTTCTGCCAAACCGCGCCCGGACTTGTTTGTTGGTCGTTTGCTTCTGTGCTCGAAAAACGGGCGCAGTCATTAGAACACGCAACAGGCGCATTCAGCCCGATGTGTTGATGGATAATTTGGTCGGGCCTGCGGCGATCCCCGTGGTTTCAGTACCCAACAACCAGGCCTCGTCGGAAGAAAGTCGGTGCCACGCGTCGAAATCTGTGGAAAGATGCGCTTAGTCGGACGGTTCTCGAATACCCACCGGTGCCTGGGCGAAAGAGTATGATACGCTTGTGGAAGGGTGCGCTCAGTCGGACAGTTCTCCAATACCCGCCTGTGCTTTGGCAAAAGAGTCGAGTGTGATCAGATGTTGGATCAAAAAGTGATGTTTAAACCAATTAATGAATCCGGATCTCTCAGCCTCCCGTTTTTGCCAACGAGTTTCCCAAATTCGGTCTGCCTTTTTGTTGTGAACATTTCGTGATTTCCGCCATATCCCTCCATGAACCGCAAGCAAATCCGGAAATGCGCACCGAACCTTAGGTGGTTCATGGAGGGATTCAACGGCAGGACTTCACATCCAACCTCAGGAAAGTCCTGCAACCCTCTGTGCAGAGGGCTCATGCTTATCAAGCCAGTGTTGGCAATGTCCATTGCGGACTACTGAGGCACCATCCATAGCCTCGCAACTACTTGAAACATCGCCAAGACTGACAAACGAAGTACGTTGTTGGCATCACTTTGTCTTTTTGTGAAAGCTTCGCAACTCGCTTCCGGAAGATTTGCATGACTCCCATCTGACTTTGCTGCTGCGAAGAGCCACAGGCTCGGCCGACAACATTCCAAGTGCACACGGCAGACTTGCGCACCGTGTCACCAGCGATACAGCAACGCCGAAAGCCACGAGCAAAACAATTACAAGCCTTCAGAGTAGACTCAATGTCGTGGCACTTTCGCGCAGTGGGGTCCACATATGCCCTGCGGCACTCTGGTTCTTGCAAACAGCAAGCTGCACTTGCTTCAAGCTTTATTGCCCGTTTCAGGAAGATTGATTTGCCTTTAATCTGACTTAGCCGGGGCTCAGTCAGAGCAATGTCTCAAGTCGCGCCCAGCTGAGAAACAGGGCGTCAACTCAAGGTGTTGACATCTAACCTAACGCATTTGACAAAGCACCCTTGTCTCGAGAGCGCAAACAGCTCAAGCCACGGCAACGATGCAGCATTCACAATGTTCATCCGGAACTACTCGGGCACCATGCATAGCGCTTTAGGACAATCACTTAAAGCAACACCGACAGCCGAAGCAGGTGTGTGGCAAGCACAGCGGGGACCTGGTCAAAGCAAGGCTCCACGTTGCACCCTGGCTTTTGACTTCCTCTTGAGGCAAATAAAGGCCAAGCTCATCAAGTCATGGCAACAATGCGGCATCCACGATGATCATGCCACCCTACTTGGGTACCGTGCATGGCACTCCAGCGCAACTACTTCGAACACAACCAAGACCGAAATCTGAAGTGCAAACAGCAAGCTGCACTCGCCCCACGCTTTACTACTTGGAATACTTGAGAGGGTGAACGAAAGCAAAAAGCAGATTTCCCACGCTGCCAATCTGACTGTTTGTGCCTATGCGAAAAAAGGAGAAGAGCTGCCGTTGGTGTCAGGCGGCCACGGAAGCCTATCCGAGTCACCGCATGGGATGGCAAGGCCAGGTCCCCTGTGTTTGCCTCAGAGAAAGCATTGCTCATCTCGGCAAATGGATTGGCCGCGTGGGGCTACGTAGCTGCGGCGACCACAATGTGTTATTCAGATGAACACCCAGAAAGTCATCAAGGCCCGAACTTGGGCTTGCTCCTAGTGACGTAAATCCCCTAGTTGCAAACGATCGCAAATGGTTATGAGAATGTGCTGGTAGTGCGGAGCAGGGGCGGACTAGGGGAGAATCGAGCCCTGCGCAGGGGCTGGGTGGGCCCGTTGTAAAGAGCAGCCCCTTACTTCCTCTTGAGGCAAATAAGGGCACCCTCTTCAAGAGGGAACACGCACACACTCAAAATTGCAGACGGCTCAAGCTCATCAAGCATTGTCAGCGATAAAGCATGTGCATTGTTGATGGCAACCGCACTCTAGACCAGTTACTTGGAACACAAGCAAGACCGAAAGCCAATGTACGTGTGTGGCATCACTTTGCCTTTTGCAAACAGCAAACTCCCCATGATTTACCGTTCGCTTCAAGGCAAGGCTCCACACTGCACCCTGCCAGGGTTGCCTTTTGACTCCCTCTTGAGGCCAACAAAGGCCAAGCTCATCAAGTCATGGCAACAATGCAGCATCCACGATGATCATCCCACACTACTTGGGTACCGTGCATGGCACTCCAGCGCAACTACTTCGAACACAACCAAGACCGAAATCTGAAGTGCAAACAGCAAGCTGCACTTGCCCCACGCTTTACTACTTGGAATACTTGAGAGGGTGAACGAAAGCAAAAAGCAGACTTCCCACGCTGCCGATCTGACTGTTTGTGCCTATGCAAAAAGGAAGGAGAAGAGCTGCCGTTGGTGTCAGGCGGCCACGGAAGCCTGTCCGAGTCACCGCATGGGATAGCAAGGCCGGGTCCCCTGTGTTTGCTTCAGAGGAAGCATTGCTCATCTCGGCAAATGGATTGGCCGCGTGGGGCTACGCAGCTGCGGCGACCACAATTTGTTATTCAGATGAACACACCCAGAAAGTCATCAAGGCCCGAACTTGGGCTTGCTCCTAGTGACGTAAATCCCCTAGTTGCAAACGATCGCAAATGGTTATGAGAATGTGCTGGGAGTGTGGAGCAGGGGCAGGCTGGGGGGGTATCGAGCCCTGCGCAGGGGCTGGGTTGGCCTGTTGTAAAGAGCAGTCTTTGCAAAGTCTCACGCCCCTTGTAACTTCCTCTTGAGGCAAATAAGGGCACCCTCTTCAAGAGGGAACACGCACACACTCAAAATTGCAGACGGCTCAAGCTCATCAAGCATTGTCCGATAAAGCATGTGCGCTGTTCATGGCAACCTACTTGGGCATCATGCGCAGCACTCTAGACCAATTACTTGGAACACAAGCAAGACCGAAAGCGGAAGTACGTGTGTGGCATCACTTGTCCCTTTGCAAACAACAACCTCCCCATGATTTGCCGTTCGCTTCAAAGCAAGGCTCCACACTGCGCCCTGCCAGGGTTGCCTTTTGACTCCCTCTTGAGGCCAACAAAGGCCAAGCTCATCAAGTCATGGCAACAATGCAGCATCCACGATGATCATCCCACACTACTTGGGTACCGTGCATGGCACTCCAGCGCAACTACTTCGAACACAACCAAGACCGAAAGAAGAAGTGCATGCTTGGCGTCACTTTCCAACAATCCGGGCTGGCCGCAAACTTTACTGTTGCCTTCAGAAGATTGGAATGCGTTTTATCTGACACAGCTGGGACCTAGTCAAGCCTGTTCATGGCAGGCTTGGGCGCAGCGCACAGCACGCTGGCACACGTAGTTGAAATACCACCAAGACCGGAACCCGAAGCACATGCTTGGCTTCACTTTCTCTCCTGCAAACGACAAGCTGCACTTGCCCAAAGCTTCACAGCTCGCTTCCAGATTTGCATGACTCCAATCTCACAAGTCTGCTGCGCAGCGCCAGCGACTGATGCTCATTGAGCCATGCTAATGCAGCAACGGTCATTATAACCGCAAACACACATGGCAAGCTCCTTATGGCAGGCTCTGGCGCAGGGCAGAGCTCTCTGACAGAAATATTTGACATTCTTACAACCAAGACGGAACGCGAAAGCACATGTTTGCGAGCACTTTGTCCGAGCTTCACAGCTCGCTTCCGGAATATTTGCGAATCCAATCTGACATGGCTGCTGTGCAGAGCCACAAAGGACGGACGCACGGATGGATGCACAAAGCGACCTGCAGGGATCTGCGGCCAACGGAAACCGTCCCTCCCCTGCGACACACGTCTCGGCTACCGTCCGGTTGGAGTTCAAGGCCCCGGACTGGTTACCCCGCACGAGCAGTCATGAACTCCGCAAAGCCCGTGCAGGCACGCAAGGCGCACAAACAAGACAGGTGTGGGTCCTTGAACACAACAGCAAGCGCGAGGTGCCAGTAGCGCCTCCACCGTTCCCCCATTACGCCCTGCACCCTATAGGCCAAGGATACCGAAAGCCAGGGCCCCGGATGGGTGTTCAAAAAGCTAGTATAAGCTGCGATCCCGCCCGGCAAGGTCTTGCCAGCAGGCTGTGGAGGCAGCCGGTCTCGGCCGACAACATTCCAAGCGCACGCAGCACACTTGAGCACTGTGCGTGGCCTTGCAGCGGGCATGTTCCGCAGCACTTTGGCTTCAATAGAATTCAAGCGCCACGTGCTTGCCCAACAGCTAGTCTCAGTGAACTTGACATGTCATCAGACTATCATGAGTTACTGCTCAGACGGGGCTGCTCGGCACACAGCAGCAATGCTGAAAGCTATGACCGAAACCATACATGGGGAACTGGAGCACGGTGCATAGCTCTCTCTTGCGAACCTACGTGGGAGAGCACCAAGACTGAAAGAAGCAGTGCGTGTTTGGCAGCACGTGGTCTCTTGTGAACTGTGCGCTGCGATGTAACGATTCACTGTTGCTTTCACTTCACTGCGCCCTCATGAACGCTTTGCCCGCATGTATCTGGCAAAATCATTCGGCTCACACGTTGCAGATAGCGAGTTCTAGGCAGTTTGTCAGCAGAGACGGCCTGCCACGCATTGCTGGACAAGAATGAAATGTTGCACTATCACAAATTCGGCTGGATTCACGCTCTCCAGAAAGTGATTGGGCTGGCCTGTGGCAATGCTTGGCCTATGGTCGCCTGTCTTCTGGGCCGGACGGGATGACGCCATCCCAACATGCTTGAAATGAAACGGCATCAGGCACACTTGTTGTAAAGGCTTCAAGCAAGATCAAAAGCTTGCCAACCCTCTGTCCGCCTAAGGCATATGTCAACTCTCGCAGCAACAACATCTGAAGGTGTGCCCTTCAAATCCTCCTGTGAAAACAAGTCATCCTGACCAAGTGGACCGTTCTCAGCCTGCTACGTCGAAAAGGTCGATACGAGTACCTGCAGCAACTTATTTGATCCTTTGCCAGCCGAATGCGCGCGCCCAAAGAAAGTAAATCGTGTTTGTGGTCTGTTACGCTTTGAAACAAATAGCTCGGCAAATTCCAGGCTTGGGCCAACCCCTTGCTTAGATCATGGCTTGACCGCCAGTTTTGAATAGCCTCCTCTGGATGTTCTGTACGTGGGTCCGGCAATTGTCTGGTAGTCTCAACCACATTGCAACTGACCAAAGAAAACACCACCGCAGATGATTTTGCTTGGGAACCCCCTTTCGTTTGGCTTAACTCAACCCCTTTCATGTGTGAACACCTATCGTTTGAACAACCTCCTTTTGGTTCCCCTTCTTCGCCCAAGGGTTGAAGGATCAATGGCGTTTCCTTCGTTTACTTTTAAACAAACCCCAGAAAGAGCGCAGCCTGAGAAGACACCTGTACTTCATTTCCTTCCGAACATTTGCGGCCCTCAGCTTTCAGATCTTCGGGCTCCGTACCCGGCAGCTCCGCGCACAGCGCCGCGGCCAGGCCTTGAGGTGGCGCGGTTTAAAGAGGGCCACCTGTGAACCTAAGGGAACGTGCAAAAGTGAGCACAATGGGAAGCAGCGCAAGAAAACCAACAGGCAATTTCAAGAAAGGCGAGGGGAGGGAAGATGGAAACAAAGGGAAACCAAAAAGAACCCAAACGAGGTAAAGCCGAAGATTAAGCCCTCCATGTTGGTGGGAGAGTAACGTAACTGGTCCAAGTCAGCTGATTTTGCATTTCTGACAGAAACTAATACAAAAACATGTGCTAACAAATAATATATATATATGCATATATAACACAATAATATATTACAAGCAGTTATTTTGGCACTCAGCAAACCCCCATCCACTGGCCGATTGCTTCCCATGCTGCAATTGCATGAGACGAACACTCAGCGGATTTTGCGCAAAGCAAGCCTCTCACTCGGTTTACGTCGCATCTACACATCCAATAGGGTTTGACAGCGTCAAGCGGCCCAAATCGAACGTCATGGAGGCATCCAGACTCGTGAAGGTTTAAAAACTCTTAACAACAAAGCAACGCTATCAAGTTGAAGTCGTTGGCTTGGGCTGGCTCAGCCCATCCACACAATTTGCAAGTGATGATACTCTGCCATGGAACTCAAGGAGTCGCAAACACTCAAGCTTGAGCCTGCCTTTGCCCCAAACAAACGTGCTGTGTCCGAGCAAACTCATGCTCTCGGATAGCCTCAGTTGGAGCCTTGCATCCGGTCCCAATCTCCCGGCCTGTCTTTGTCCCAAGCGGCATAAGCGAATGTTCCGCCTACACAGCGTCATTTGAAAGCTACTTGGGCAAAACTGGCTGCGATGGGGCAAGTCCTTTCCCGTGCGTGCGTGTTATGTGTAAGCTACATCTGTACATGGGTATGTATTTTTTGACGTGCCCGCGCCGGGAAGTTGGTATAGGGGGCATGAATCGCAGGTATGGTTCGGAAATCTTGTCTTGTGGCATTGGGCGCTGCAATTCTCATCCTCACTGGCAAGCAGATAGAAACCGAACCACTCAGTTGCCACAGCTGGCCTCTGACGCTGCAAAGAACGGGGTGAACTAGACAGCTGCGACAGCCTAAACAGGCATGCTCTGCAGACCCGCAATCACCTGGCAGCTCAGACAACGCCTAAACCCTGATAGACGCAACACGCCCGGCAGGCAGCTGCGACAGACCACGCTCCGCGGGCAAGCGATTGGGGCAAAGCAGCCGCAACACTTGTACTTCACTTGCGCGGGCCAGAGCTGTCAGACTTCAGCAGGTAGACACGCGCCTCCTCAAAGATTGCGCGTACACACTTTGCTTTTGTGCGCGGGTTTTCGCGTAGCAGTTCCTCCTCACGGGCCCCAGAGCTGCCTTCCAGGCGCTCACAAGAACTTGCTTGCTTTGGCACGCCCGCCAATGAAATGATGGCTTCTTGCTTGCAACTTCTTCGAGCACAGGCCGCTCTTTGCAACGCTCCCCGGCTTCACAAGCGAGACAATTCACACTCGCTGGACCGAGCTGCGACCCGGCGTGGTTGAGGTACAAAAACTCGAAGTGTTTTTGCGTTTTTGCGGTGCGCGGATGAACCCTCTGCGGGGATCGGCGTGGTCGAGGTGCTACAAAGTTTTTGCGATTTCTGATCTGCTCGCGCGACGCTCTGCGGGGATCGGCGTGGTCGAGGTTAAGAAACTGGGGACTTTTTACGATTCTTGCGGTGCGCGGGCGGCCCTCTGCGGAGATCGCGCGGTCGAGGTGCAAAAACTCGAGTTTGTTTTGCGTTTTTGCGGTGCGCGGATGAACCATCGCGCGTGTCGACAAGCTCTCGCTGATGCGCCGTGCGAATTTGTTTTGTCTCGGCGAACCCTCTGCAGCTGGCTCAAGCAAAGAAGCCGTAGTATGTGGAGTGTACTCCTGGCGGCTCCGACCGGAAATCGCAACCCTGAAGCGCAGGCGTATAGTGCGCGGAGCACCTCCACAGCTCAGCTCAGGCTGAGCATCTTGCGCACAGATACAAGCGCCGAGCGGCTTGCAGAGAGAAACTTGCACAACGTGCGCAGAACAGCTTGAAGACAGATGTCGAGCCACTTGCGTGCAGCAGCTTGCAGAGAGCAACTTGCGCGCAGCAGCCTGGAACAATGCAGCTTGCGCAGACACTGCCATGTTTCCTCTCGTAGGACGATGAGATGGAGCTCTCATGTGACCATACACATTGAGCATCGCCGCGTGCAGACACGCTCGCCGCATCGATGTAAAAAGGTGTCTGCGGCTGGAAGAGCGCTTGGGGAAAAATGCTTTCGGGCCAATCGTCCTCTAGTTCAGGGGTATGAATCGGGGTGTGTTGGGGCGTATGGTTCGGGGTATGATTCGGGGGGTATGGCTCGCCCAGGTCCCACTTCCCGCGTAGACGAAAGAATGGGCACAGCAACGCAAACCCCTATGCCATATGGACAACAAAAACATAAATGGCCGCACGCAAACACGCACACACAGACAAAGGCACATATGTCTACTCTGGCTGTCGACAGATCTCAACAGACACAACTCCTGCACAGGTTTCCGCCTGCCCCTTTGTTGCTCCCCGGTACTAATCCCTTCTTCCTGATAATACAGGTCCCTCAAACACAATTATTCCAGAATCCCAAAACAACCGAACTAAATCTGAAGCCAATGCTTTTTTCCGGATTCTCCCACCCTTGCTCAAAAGCTTCATACTTGTTTGCGTGCAAGGAGACAATGGGTTCGTATCATGAACCAGGGGTCCCCTAATAATATGCTTTTGGTGGGTAAACAAGTTGCCCGTGGGGGGGGCCCTTTTCCTCTTTAGGGGGAGGACTACTTGTTCAGTTGGCAACCAACCGCATTCGACGTTTGCTTGGATGATTGCTGCAGGGAAAGGAAAAGAAAACCGACCGATCGATCGCAGGCCATGTCTTTCTGCGACGCAGGCTGCCCGCGAGACCGCAGCAACGCTCTCAACTGCTCGCTGTAAACCTGGGGTGGCGTCATCGGCCCGAACCCCGTTGGGCCCTCCAATCCTCTTGGGAAACGTTTCGGCGCCGTGGCCTTGCTCTGGTAGCAACCAATCATCTATGAGGAAAGCCAGATTTCCTAGTAGAGAAACGCAAAACATCAAGGTAACATGTTGAGCGCAATCAGGTCGCCAACTGAGCTCTGTCGGTGACAATCCGGCAGAGTTAACAGTATCAAAAATCCAAACACAGAAGACAAAGCAATTGCATCAGGGCTGCAAAGCGGCATAAAACATGTGCAAGGGTGTGTACTGCACAGAAGGAAGGCCCTTAATAATGCGTGCACGCGCGCACACACAAACAAACAAGCAAGCAAAGCAAGCAAGAAAGCAAACAAGCAAACAAACAAACAAAACAAACAAACAAACAAACAAACAAACAGGTGCGCACAAACACCCACGCACGCACGCATGCAGCAGGCCAAGGCAGGTGTGTAAATCTCCCGTTTTAAACTGCCTTTGTTTGAGCTATAGTTTTTCTCCTGCTCGAAAAGTGCAACTCTTCAACAAGTCTAGTACTCCGGCTCAAAAACCGCAAATTTCCAGCACCCGAAGAAACTCCAGAGCCGCGACGCTTCAGTACACGTGTACAGTGCGCAAATGAAATGTTGGACTTCCTTCGAAATTTAGGGTGGGGTTGGAATATGCATTCTGTAGCATACAAATGGCAGTGTGCGAAAAAAAACGTCCACAAAATGGCGGCGCGTGCAGCGCAAACAACATTTTCTACAAAATGGGGTTCTGGACTGTACAGGGTGCTTTTGGATGCTACAAAGCGGTCACTACAAAACATGGAGGGATCTACGTCATGGCGATTTTGTAGTGGGCGAGTTGGCTCTCAATCCTACCAGTGTTCCAAATAGGTCAAGATCCGCTCTTTAGAGAAAATGTGGCTACCAAAAACTCATACACTCCCATTTGAATCACCATTCAAAATTTAGTTGGAGGCATCCCACCGCCCACAGGTCCTACATTGTCGATGAACTGCATGTTTTCATCGACAGCAGCGTGACATCCTGATTTTGGGCCCTTCCAGGTCGGTGGGTATGGTTGTTGAAGCAAACTGCCAGCCCTGATCACTGAGATCACTGAGCGCAGAAAAAAGGCTGATTCCACCAAGCAGCTTCCCCAAGACAGGCCCATACTCCACCTGATGTGTGACCTGGAACGCGCCCACCGCCACCAGGCCACCTTGGTAAAGATTGTCCGTTTGCTGACAGGCGCCAAACAAAAAAACAAGTCATCTTCCGCGCGAAACCACTTAAAAATGCAAGAATCGTCTAAAACACTACGACGCGCCCTTTGCCACGATACTAGCCCACAATTATTCAAGCAGGCTGCAGTCGTAGGTGAGGCTTGCCAACACCCGCCAGGCCACTGCAAGAACTGGTCACTAAAGTGGCGATTGAAACACGCGGGCTGAAAGTCTCCGGGGCTAGGACCAACCCAGAGCGCGATAGCAAGCCAGCACTCTGCGAACATGTCGCGTGTCCCTTAGCATTTACCCCCCTTCCAGCCTGCTAACATGTTGAAGACAATTGTTGTGCAGAGCAAGCAACCAAGTCATATCCATGGTTGCGCGAGTGGGAAATCTAGATGTGGATCTGCCCACGGCACAGTTGGCAAAGCGTGGTGTGAGAGCGGCTTTCCTAGCGACTCTCTTGGAACAGCAGTCTCTGCCGCAGCTGCTGCTGCAGGGTCTGCACGCGTTCCAAGCCTTCGCCTGCCACATGCTGAAACGCTCGCGGAGCTCGTGGAAACAGAAAACTAGCATTCCAGGGCAAAGCAAGCCCAAAAACAACGTCCTTTTGGTGTTTCTGTAAAGCAGTCGAGTTGCCTGGAAGCCCTCTTTTAATTGGCGCGAAGACCAGGGAATCGACTGACTGCGAAGCTTTTCATTCCCTGGGCTCCCTGCCCAGTAGCTCTGCGATGCAGTACACAGCAGCGGCCCCTAGGCCTGGCGGCAAAACGAACTCTCGTGTTGGAGGCCCAAGAAAAGCCAAGGAAACAAGATATAATGCGAAGGGGAGACCAACAAGCAGATGAAACCAAGGGGAAACCACGCGGTGTCCAAAACAGACTCATAAGGGGAGCGAACCAAAGAACAAGCAAAGAAGACAAAGGAAGACCGCGAGGAACCAGGAGGAAACAACTTACCGGTAAGAGATCCCAATAGTGCTGGGAAAGGAGTGAGGATAGAAAAGCCAATGATATCTTAAACATACAACAGGTGATGCCTCCACAAGACCTCTCCTTGCAGCTCCTGAGTAAGACTTCCTGGGAGGATCTCTAGAAGGACCAATTCAATGTGTCTCTGGGTGTTACAAGGAAATCTGCGCAAGATCTCTTGGAGGATCTCTTGGCGAGATCTGTGCGCACAATGTCTGGACAGGATCTCTCGGATAGGATCTTTTGGCAAGATGTGTGCACAGAATCCTTGAAAGGGTCTGCGCGAGACCTCTTGAGAGGATCTTCTCTACAAAAGGCCAGAGCAGCATATCTATGGGAGGAGCTTCACAGGATCTTTTCTTTGAGCTGGGTAGGGATTCTTGGCACTATGTTTTACTGGATCCACAAGACGATCATGAATATAACACTTATCTGTTCAAAATCTGCAGGGAGCATCTTGTACAAGCCCAGTTGAAGGGAAATCTGTCCAGGTCCTGCGCAACAGCTCTGGATATGTTTGGATCCCTATGAAGGACCGGCGCAAAATATCTTTGGGAGGTTTAAAGTCCCATTGGCTTCCATTGAAACAACCCCAAAGTGGGCAAGCCTCAATAGCAAACAGCGGGACACCCGGGCCCCTCGGCTCCCGATCCTGGCCTTTGCCCCATGGCAACGCAGTGGCCAAGGAGAGTGCCGGGTTCAGCGAGCCACCCGAGACGCCACTTAGGGCAAAGCCTGGCGCTTGGGGCCAATACTGAAGGTGGCCCAAACTCCTATAGCAACAAAACGAGAAACCAGCCATAGGATTAACAAAGTAGAAGAGTTGAAGCCTTTTCGGGGTTGACATAGGCGAAGCCACAAGGAAACTGGGTGCCATGAACTATTCCTGGGCGAGTAGAAAAATGGAACCCTGTCCGGGATTGACTATTTTACAGGTGGACCCACCACACGACCCCCCAAAAGAAAGGGCAACCACGTTCCTGGTTGGGCAAACACGTCGCTTAACATAGAGGTGTCTCAGTCAACATCAGTTTGTATCGCATCCAGTGTTCAAAGCCACTGGTGCTTCGAATGGGGTGATGCTGCTCATGGTCAAGCTCGTGAACAAGCAGCTGAAGCCGGGGAGAAAGTGTGCATGTATTGGTTGACGATTGAGTAGAAACTGATTGAAGCTCTTGGTGCAGAATGTAGATCAGTGAACTGGCTCCAGAAAGCTTCCCGGTCGCCCAGGTCGCGCCTCCAGCCGTGACGCAAGACCCAATTGCCAGGCCGAACATGTGCGAAGTCCTTGGCGTACTGGACAATAGTTCGAGGGCAGGAGGAGTTGGTGCCATGACCATTTTCCTAACCCAAAAAATACTCGAACGGGGGCTGCAAAATAGACCATATAGCAGGGTGTTGTGACTGCCTACGAGTCCAATTCCATGTGTACGCTGGGATCTGGGGTTCCCAGTTGCCCAGTTGCCCATGATGACAGCTTTTGGAGTTGACCATGTTCGTGGGAATCCGCCAAGCAGTTTCTCGGCCATAGCAAGCATTTTCAGAGCTGCGCAATCCGTTTGAGTAAATAAGAGGTCAACTCTGAATATGCGATGCGCCCGATCCAAAACTGGATCTCACGGGGCGACAGTAGTGGCTTGCTACGGCCGTTCCCGCAAGGGCCGCTGGCCACCTGATGGAGAAAAAGTGGAAGCTTGGAGCCAACAAACTATACTGCAATTTCCACGCGTTGATTTCTGAACTCTTACCGTTATCTTAGCATAAAGGACAGAATTGGCATCACCTGTACAAATATCACACAATAAAATAAAGGATTGTCCTTTCATCCGTGTTGTTTTTGTTTTGTAGTCTTCAGAAATCTTGAGCGACTGCTAATCATCGCGCTCTTTCTAACGGTTTCTGCAATAAAGACCGAAATAGAAAGTCCAGTGACGTGCCCGCGCCGCGATTTTTCCTCGCATCTGCGAGCAGCGCCATGCGTGCCTCCGACAGCAGCGCGGGGGCGTTTGCTCCAGCGCTGCCGATGCAGGCAGAAGCCACTGAGCTGAAAAGGAGGAAGTCCAGCTGCAACTTCCGGTGCCCTGAGAGATGCTCCGTTCAATGGATTCCCTTGTCCCTTTTTGGGTTCTTGGAAATCAGAGGTTTGGGCTTGTGGGTATTGGGAGCTCGTGAATTGCGATGGGCTTTTGGGTGAGAGCCGCCAAGAGACCATTTGCCCCATTGTGATTCAGGTTCCCTTCCTTTGCCCTTTACCTAGTGTTAGGATTGCGGGATTGGGCCAACGCCCTTGTTTTAACATGAAAAAATCAGTCCTGTTTCAAAAGCCTCATGTTGCTCATGGTGGTTTCAATAAAGGGGCGGTGTAAAAGACATGTTTTGCCCAACCCTGGCTTGATAGCAGGAGCGTTCCAGTGATCTCGTTTTCTAGCAAGAATACCTTGGAATTCAATCAGCTGGTCACCCTCAAGTGAAGCATCAATCTATGTTGCTCAGTGGATGTTTAAAAGCTTGGTGAGGTGTCTGTGAGTTTATCTGCAACTCTGGTAACTCCGTTTATGATTGCTGGTTTCTGCATCAACAAGTCAATTGATGCTTGCAGGTGGAGTTGCATGATTGAAAATGCTGTCTAAAACCGTTACTTGTTCTTATTGGGGGAAGGGCAAAGACAAGGTTCGCTCATGCACCGAAACACTAGTCAACATTCCTGGGATTGACTCCATGAAACACGCGTTTTGCAAGCACTAAGCCATCAAGGACATCTCTGTAAATGGCTGAGAGGCATCATATATTTGATGCTCGTGAAGGTGTCTGCCACTTGCAACAATCAGTCCAAGCCTTCAGTCTTTGTGGTTCATGACAGTCGCTTGGCGAAAAAATGGCACCATAGCCTAGAACATCCAGCAGCAAACATGGTATTCCATACACAGGAATCATATGCAGTCAACCCAATGGACAAATGGCCACTAGTATCAGCCACACGTTGGCACAGGAACCTTCTCAGCGCGAAGAATGCAGCCAGGCAGCGCATTTCTGCCAGAACCTGCAGAAAGAATGGCCACATTAGCCAGGTAACACATATTGAGTGGAAGGTGGATCAGAGGAGCTGGGCTGTTTCCAAACCCAATTTCACGTAGCAAACGCTCGACATGCAGGTCACAAACCAAGACCCTTGCTCATGTGGCACATTCCAATACCAAGCTTGGCAGCATTTTCCTACTAAAAACACCCCCTGTGATGGTGACGGATTGTCAAACTAACTCCTGTTGCTGTGCGGCAAGCTTTCCTTGGGTGGCATTGTCCGGACCAAACAATGCCAAAGACAATCTAGCTGAGTGTTCAGGCGGGCACCTATACGTCAATGAAATTCACAAATCCTTTTGAGACCAAGCAAGGTCCAATTGCAAAGGCGCTAGAGGCGCTGCTCAGTATTGACACCTCTGCTGCATCGCCACAAGCACGTCTTGTTCCCTCTTTGTGCATCCAGCCTCTCCACTGTCAGAGCCGGTGCAGAACGGCCGATATTTGCTGAGCTCATGAAAAGAAATTGTAGGCAGGCTAAGAGCAGCTACCTCTCATGAATGCCCGCACAAACAAAGAAGCGTAGGCATGCCGCTCTGCACTTCCACCGGTGTCTGATCCCTTCGCGGCTGTAGCCACATCTTGCCTGCAAGCATTGCAGCCACTGAAGTGCGGCGACACACGCGGCGATGCAGGGTGCGTAGATGACAAGGCTGGGCTTCTCGTTTCTGAGCTGCTGCAGCAACTCCTGGGCGGCACCAAATAAGATGTAACCCAGCTTGCAGGTGTTCAGGACTTGAGCTCATAACACCTTCTCACCGTGACAGTTAGATATGTGTAACTATATAGAGTTGCATGACAAGAAGAGAGTCTTAAGGCTAAACAACATAATTATGTCTGATGGATTTTCTCTGGTGTACAGTTGCTTGTAGCCTTAGAGGTCTGTGTCTTTCTTGCTGGCTACCTTTACTAGCCGTGTTGAAACATGCCATTCATATGAACAAGTTGGCGGCTCGCATTTTCGGAATTCGTTAGGAGACCAGGGGCTGCTAATCTGCCAGGTGAAACATGAACACGCGCTGCAGAAAGAGCAAGTTTAGCAGTCAATAGCAACTGGTGCTTGCAGCACGGTCAATGCCAACCTACATGATTAACGTGCCAAGGTGCTGCTGGTGTTGATGTTGTCATGGTGTGCTCATGCTGCATGCCGCAACTGACTAATACTAAGAAGACTTTTCTGCTCCTGTCACGTATTCTAGTAAAACTGTCCATCAAGCTGATCGCCACTCCAAACCAACACGCGATCTCAAAACATTCGCGTGTCTGTGTGCGTGTGATATTTCGTGTTGTGTTGTGTTGCGCAGCGCTGCCTTCCATTGCGTTGTGTGTTGTATCAGGCTGCGTTGCGTTGTCTTGTGCTGTCTTGCGTTGTGTTGCGTGTAGTATTGTGCTATGTGTTGCGGTGCGGTGGGATGTGTATGTGTGTGTGTGTGTGTCGGTGTCTGTGCGTGGCTGTGAGCGCTGTGAGTGTGTGTGTGCGTGTGTGTGTGGGTGTGTGTGTGTGTGTGTCTCCGCGTCTCCGCTGGTCTATCGTGCCGCCGTGGTTCAAGGGTGAACCGCCACTGACCTTCTTGGCAGGCATTGGCAGCCGCGCAGATCTTGACCACGTCCGGTTGGGCAGTGTGCCTTTGCAGCAACAGAAGCCACACCCCAAGGCACACCACCCTTGTATCCACTACCTGCAATAAACAAGGCAGCTTCTTTGATGCGATACTCCTCTGCCATCCGTGGCACACTGACATCTTATTTGAACACCAACCCAAACCAAAGCCGAACGCTTGAAAGGCCCAAGAGGTGAGAAAAGGTCGACTCGCATGGGTTTGTTGGAATATCTCCTTGTTTTGACGGTGCTCCAACCCCTCGTTTTTCCCAAACAAGGCAAGCAGTTGATTCTTGAGTAAACCCCAAACAAAGTAAACTGAGGAATGCTAAATTTGGTCACTGCTGAGGAATACCATAGGCGTCGTGTACCAGTTTCTACCGCGACTTGATGGTCTTTTGAAAAAAAACTCGAAGCAATCGTGTTGCAGTTGTCCTCCTTTAGAAACCTGGAGGGATATTCCTGGTTGTCTTTTCCGTGGGAAACCATCTCTCCTGGTTGTTGTACAGGATTGGAGTTCCACCCTGCAGTCGCCACCCCAAGCAAGTGACCTTCATTTTCGAGGGCCTGAGCTCGTTCCCGCCCTCACCCGAACGCCAGGCCGGGCCGCAGGGCCATCGCAGTCAACAGCCCCAGACCTCTTCGCCAGGATCGACTGATGCCGCAGGCGCCCAGCGCCGCGCCCAAGGCATCTGGCGACCTGACGCCGACACGCCGCCACGAGCGCGAAAGCTGTCATCTTCCGGTTCCAAATGGGCCTGACACTCAGCCCCTGGCGGCCTTTCGAGTCCATGCAGCGCCTGGTGCCACTCCCGGGCGCTGCCACAGGCACCTTGCGGGCCCCGAAGCGCTGACAGTCCCACCCCTGATGGGCAAAATCGACGAAGGGGATGGAGGAAGCCTGAGCAAGCCCTATAGATATTGGGGGAAGCCAACTATCAACTGGTGCGAACCGGATTTTGGCCATGCACCATATCATCCCCTTTACTACTAATGTAAATGCCAGTCAGAGGAAGACACAATTGGCATCGCAAGTCTTTGGTGTCCACAAAAAAGGACAAACAATGAGAGGCATCTCCCCTGGCGATGAGAATGTGCAAGTCCAAATGTGTACAACATGGAGGACAAGTGGAAGCAACTTCATTCATACATCATCACAGCCCAGTTCTGCGATGAGTTTGGCCTGCTTCAAGGCACACTGATCACATGTCTCGAACGACACAAAGACAGCCGGTCGAGGCACTGATGGCAGCAGAATGGCTGATGTCACCAGGTCTCGTGCGGGCCATCTGCATGGCACCTTGGCTGCAGCGGTTGCAGAAGTCGACAAAGGAAAGCTTATGCCTCAGAATGATATTCCGTCTAATTCAGCAGCTTCACAGTGCTGCCCAGCAACCTTCGAGTGCCTCTTTCAGAGTTTGCCGAGATCAACCTAGGGTTCAACCTCCAAGGAGTCTTTGTCGGTTTGGGCTGAGGGTGGAATGTCATTTGGCCAAATGTGGCTGAAAAACAGCAAACGTACCTAAGTCTTTGCACGGATGCCGCGTCTCGGCAAGGCACCAGCCCGTGGCAAGCTGTACAGACAGCTTGTGGGGTGGGATTGTCTCAA